GTGCACAGTGTGGGGCTGGGGCTGGGTGTGGGGCTGTGCACAGTGTGGGGCTGGGGCTGGCAGTGGGGCTGTGCACAGTGTGGGGCTGGGGCTGGCAGTGGGGCTGTGCACAGTGTGGGGCTGGCTGTGGGGCTGTGCAGGTGTGGGGCTGTGCACAGTGTGGGGCTGGCTGTGGGGCTGTGCAGGTGTGGGGCTGTGCACAGTGTGGGGCTGGGGCTGGGTGTGGGGCTGTGCACAGTGTGGGGCTGGGGCTGGCAGTGGGGCTGGCAGTGGGGCTGGGGCTGGGTGTGGGAGTGGGGCTGTCCTCTCTGTGGGGCTGGGAGTGGGGCTGGGTCTCTGTGGGCAGTGGGGCTGTACTGGTGCCATGGGTCAGGCCATGCCCGAGACAGGCTGTGCCGGTGCCGTGGCTCAGGTGTGGGTCCACCCCTGGGTGCCGTGTCCCCACTGTGGCCCCCGCTGGCTTTGGGGTCTCGTTCAGCACCAGCTGCCCTTGACCGATCCTGGGAGTGACCTCTGACCCCTGACCCCTCTCTGTCCTTGTCACTGTCCCCATCCCGGGAGTGACCTCTGACCCCTCATGGTCCCTATGCTCAGGGGTGAACCATGTCCCCATCCCTGTCCCCACACTGGCAGTGACCCCTGTGTCCATGTCCCCGTGGGTGGCAGTGCCAGGGTGTCCCCGTGTGTGTCCCCGCGGGTGGCAGTGCCAGGGTGTCCCCATGTCCCTGTGGGTGGCAGTGCCAGGGTGTCCCCCTGTCCCCGTGGGTGGCAGTGCCAGGGTGTCCCCATGTGTGTCCCCACGGGTGGCAGTGCCAGGGTGTCCCCATGTCCCCGCGGGTGGCAGTGCCAGGGTGTCCCCGTGTGTGTCCCCACGGGTGGCAGTGCCAGGGTGTCCCTGTGTCCCCACGGGTGGCAGTGCCAGCGTGTCCCCATGTCCCCGCGGGTGGCAGTGCCAGCCTGTGACACTTGGTGCCTTTATTGGGCCCCCTGGGCTGTGCCCCCCGCGGCTCCTGGAGCCCCCTGGCCCCTCCACACCCCGAGGCCGTCCCAGTGTCCATCCCGTGTCCGTGTGTCCATCCTGTGTCCATCCTCTCTTTCCTTGTGTCCATCCTGTGTCCGTGTTTCCATCCTCTCTGTCCCTCTGTCCCCGCTGGACGTGGCCTCTACGGGCGCCCTCGGCCATCTCTGTCCGTGCCTCGGTGTCCCCAGGGTGTCCCGGGGTGTCCCCAGGGTGTCCCTGGGGTGTCCCCGGGGTGTCTCTGGGGTCAGTGGCAGTTCTGGCACCGGGGGTGTCCCTAAGGTGTCCCGGGGTGTCCCCGGGGTGTCCCGGGGTCAGTGGCAGTTCTGACACCGGGGGTGGCACCTCTGGCCGTTGACGTTGCAGCGACAGCCGCCACTCGTGTCCCCAGGGCCCTGCGGGGGACAGGGCAGGGGTCAGCGGGAGCCACCCTGGGGTGTCCCCCCCACCCTGGGGTCACTCTGTGTCCCCCCCCACCCTGGGGTCACTCTGTGTCCCCCCCCCAACCTGAGGTCAATCTGTGAGGTCACTCTGTGTCCCCCTGCAGGGGTCAGTGGGAGCCACCCTGGGGTCACTCTGTGTCTCACCCTGGGGTCACTCTGTGTCCCCCCCTCACCCTGGGGTCACTCTGTGTCCCCCCCCCAACCTGAGGTCAATCTGTGAGGTCA